GTTTACAGGCGACGCCGTAATGGCTGGTAGCCTTGTAATGAAATCTTGGAGAATAGCATCAATCAGGGTGGACGTAACAGAAACATGTATATTGTATATAGATACATACACCAACAACCTACACTAAAAGTTTCTAGCTAAATTTTGTCTAATTTATTAAGAAATAAATAAATACGTAACTTTTTATTTTTTATATATTTGATGGGCCGACGTTTGGCCAATCTTTAGTGTAAGCGATGATGGGGCCTAAAATAGGGCGTGTATATATAAGCAACCTATTCACTCGGGCCTTGAAGACAATTACGTTATACAATTCAGGAACCCCTTTGGATTCCTTCGCTTTTTTCGGAACTTATACTCTGTAGCATACACAGTCACGATTCTTAGTGTAACCTAATTACTTATTTCGGTCACAATTCCAGACTATATGATACTACTGAGGCTGGTTTTACAGTCACGCGTTTCGGCAGCGCCGTCGGAGCGCGCGCGCTCGGATATGTATTGGGGTATTAGTAGCGCTTCAAATTCGCGCGCTTGAGCAGCGCCGTTCGTTGAACGCGTCCTATTCGCGCGGCGCGGTCGAAGCGCGCGCCGCTCGTGCGCTTCTACGGCCATTGTGCGTTTTAGTCTCACGCCGTTGAGACGTGCCGTTAGGTACAGTTGTGTACAAAATGAATCACATCGATACGGGTCGAGTATGGGGATGCGACGCTATGGGGATGCGACGTATGCTGGATCTTCGTAAAGAAAACTCTAACTTGCACAGTAATTCGTCGAAACTGCTGGTTGATAGGCGAAAATATTTATAAAATTTATAACTATTTTCTCGTAAATCAGAGAAAGATGTTACGTGTTCGCCTCTCAGTAACCTTGTAGCGTTATAAGGATCAACACCTACTGTTCTTCGACGTTTTTGTTGCCTTTTTTTCCATAAAAAGTAAATAGCCAGTACTCTAACCGCATTGCCGTTCATTTTGTATCTGTTTGTACACGACTGTCTCACAGCAGCGAAACGCGCCGTACTAATGTCGTTTTATGGTGCACCGCTGTTCAAACGCGCGCTGTCCAACAGCGCGCTGTCCAACGGCGCGTCTAGCGGCGTGACTGTAAAACCAGCCTGAGAGATATTAATAAATTCGAAAAACCGTTAATAATAAGATATGCATCACTATATTTCGTATTTAATAGATACAAACATCAGTCCTTTTTTAATATTCCACAGATGAATAGATCAAAGTAAAGCATAAAAAAACATGTCTCATAAACCCAGAGTTTTAATTAAACTAATCTGTAAAGCATTGCATCTTAGAAAATATTAATACCTAATAAAGTTATCGTGTTCTCATGAAAGCAGAAGGTAGCTTTCACCTCGGATTTTTAATTAAGTAAAAGTGCCGTAAGACAAAGTTTAGCGTAATTTAATAATGAAGGAATGGACGCTCTAAGTCCTGAGCTCAAAAGTTAACTAACTACTTAACTTAGATACGTACCTACAAACAATATTACCTTGATATAAAGAATTTTCATAAAACCAGAACTGAGAACCGCTACAAACGTACAAACTCAATTGAGTTTTCGAAATCAAGAATTCCTTTTACTTCCAAAGTCATTTCGGATTAACAAACGTTGTACGCTAATTTTAAAAGCTCAGAACTTGCTAATCGGCTTTCGTATTTATAGAAGCATAATTTCTCTTATAAATTGCAAGATTTGAATTTCTAAGTTTGTTGCTTACTGTGGCTACTTAAAATGTTAAAGTTATGTAAACTGTCATGTCAACAACGAAGACTGTATTTTGAGCAAAAACATTTCAAGTATTCTAACCGATATTGAATAGAACAAAAGCTATAACTGTACCTTGGTGCACTTACAGACCAGCAATTATAGTACCGCGTCCATTGTGCGATATAAAGAGTAGGAATTGAAAAGTTTCAATAATTGCGCGCCACGTACGTCGCACAGTTCCGTCATCCCGGGTGAATTGGAACGTGCGCCTCTCCACGGATTGCATACGGGCACAAACGAACGCTTCGTTTATATGTATACGAACCGCATTCGCAAATACCGCCAACGCATGCTTTAATTCATTCGAAGTAAAATATACACTATCCACCAAAAGTAATGTAAAAAAGTTAAATATATGATAAATAGTACTTTACATGACAAGTTAATTAAGCTAAGGAACTAATTGCTTAAGTTTCTACGTGGTGAAATATCTTCTAATTTTACTAAGCTTCTAACCCTGGTCTTAACAATTAAATAAGTTATTATGGTTGATCTTACTTAAATATAAGCTGCGTTGAACTCCAAATCAAGGCTAGCTCTCAAAGTAAAACCCGATTAAATCGCGTAAAAAGCCTTCAAAGCGAGCCTTCACAACGCAATAACAACTAATACCGAAAACTTTGAACATGATAATATTGTCTAATACTTGGTCAGGTAACCGCTAAGTTACGCTCAATGGGAGTCAAAATGTATCTACAAGATTTTGTTGCTCTTTGAAGTTACATTTGACCTTTCAATCCTTTGAAATAGGAAATTATTTTAGGTATAGCTACGTGTCTACTGACGATGTGGGGCGTATGAAATCGAATTCAACAATGTGATGAAGGTCGCCCTCTGACAGTCGCGTATACAGACTCGTGGAAGAATTTATGCGTGATCGAATTGTCCCGTGACTTGTATCGATTGTATCAATGAATCACTTTGATTGTATTACGTATGCTACGTTCTTAATAAATCTAACACCAAACAAAGATTGTAATACAGCTCAACACTACAACAAAGATCTTTATCAAACTTCATGAGAAACGGCTCAGCAATTTGACAGGAAAAACCTAAAAAATACAGAGTTACTTTCACATCTGCATTTGAGAAAATAATATCTAAATATTAGTTGCAGAGTCCTAAAGTAATAAAGATATATCTACACCTTAATACAATAACCAACACGCTACACAGACATGACACAAAGTACAAATTGTACGTTAAATTGGATGCGTCTAACGTGCGGTGGATCGCAACTGAATTAATTACCCATTCTATACTGACACGCTTTGCTAACAAGTGACACATGATCGTTGGCTCCCTTGTACCGTCAGCATTTAAACAGATATTGCAACTAGATGTAAAATATAGTACAAAGCGCTCGAGACTTTAAAGAAAGGGTCTGCTCTTCAGTGGGCGTCGTAAAAGCCGACAAACATCCTACTTCCTACTGATATTATTAAAGCGAAAGTTTGTGAGAATGCATGTGTGTGTGTATGTGTGTGTGTGTGTGTGTTCTTGTTACTCTTTCACGGCAAAACGGCTAAAGGGATCGAGATGAAATTTGAAACAGTGGTAGATGACGGTCTGGGATAACACATAGGCTACTTTTTATCCCTAGGATACGCTGGCGAAGCCGCTAGCAGAAGCTAGTATTACATATTTAATAGATGCTGAACGGCAGTTCTCCCATGTAAACCTGGTCCTTTTAACCCGTGGTATGCCGAAAGGTAGATATACGTAAGACACAATGTGTTTTCTATCGTGCCTCACATGCCAACAGATAAAAGGTTAAACAACGATCTCTACCCAGCCTGCAAATCGTAAAGATTATAGCAAACTGTCTCTTTTACGTATATACAAAAGACCTATAGTCCAGCAACGGAAAGGCGGTTAAAGTAATTACAAGCATCACATTGCTAGGCATGGGTATAGTATAGAACTAAACAAACGCTGCTGTACATAGGCCCGTCCACAATGTGTTTGCACTCCAACTTGTACATATTTACTGAAGGGAATACATTACGACTCACGTGGGAATTATGCGGTGCCTAAAATATGAGCCCGTTTAGATAGAAGTAATCAAATGCTTTTCAGAAACAAATATCTCCATGTATTCGAATTGGAAATTGTATTATGTAATTGTGTATCTTTTTTGTCCCAAAGGGTAGTAAGGATGTCGCATTGTTATTGGATTAATTATCTATAGGTACATATAAACACGTTTTTTTAGCATTTTAGCATTAGCCGGTAAACGAGCAGACGGATCACCTGATGGTAAGCAATCGGCGTCGCCCATGGACACCTAGAACACCAGAGGCGTTACAAGTGCGTTACCAGCCTTTTGGGGATTATGAGTTTGAGGATCGTTGGGGATTCAGGGATTGGGGAGATTGGGGAAGGGAAGGGTAATTGGGCCTCCGGTAACCTCACTCACACGACGAAACACAACGCAAACGTTGCTTCACGTCGGTTTTCTGTGAGGCCGTGGTATGACTCTGGTCGAGCCGGCCCATTCTTGCCGAAGCATGGCTCTCCCACACGTATTATTTTTTTAATATCTCCAAAGTAATTCGCTTCATCCACCTACGTCAATGATGGTTAGTAAAATATATATTCATCCTGTATCTATAGGAGTTTGATATTAAATAAATAATGTATTCGTAAGTAAATACATAAAAGTAATATCTATAAATCCTTCTATTAATAACCTTACCTTAGTTGTGCCGCTTATTTCTCTTATCTCACCATTTTCTATCTATAGTTCAATTTCCCTTGCCACACATGCGCTGTTAATACATACTTTATATGTCTTCTTCCGTTTCCCGGTAGCTGTGTAGCTATATGCCTGCGGCGTCAACAAAACGTAGAAACCTAATAAATACCGGCATTGTGTCGTTACTTAACATCGGCACAGGTTGCGCGTACCTATTATAATTTAATTTCATTTTCTATAATACAATTTTGTTCGCGATCGCCGTTGTTATATTAATATACTAAGGTTCATTTTGCTGTACACGTGGTAAACGTATACACACATACATACATTTATGTTTGTGCACCGACTACGTGAGAGTTAAACATAATATATTTTGTGTTTTATTTATACGATCATTGATTGAAATATATGTATTGTACATTAGGTATATAATAACTATTTACTCTTTTACTTGAAGTCTGAGGATACTAAAATAAATTTTCATTATTTTTCTAATTCTATTCTTTATTTTCAGGCGAAACCGACGAGCATGGCTTGCCGACGGAGAAGGATAAATCGTGCGACACCAACCTGTACCTATATCATGTAAGTTTATCTCGCACCTGTTCACTATACTTATATAAAACCTTTTTAGCATCGAGATCATGGTACAGAGCGTTCGAAGTAACTTAGAGAGGCTTATCCCAACTTCACTGGGCATTAAACATTGAAGGATTTTCATTATTCAATGTCTAGTGTCTTTCTACGTTAACTTTTAAGTGCACACCTTGCAAACTTGGGGAGTTTCAACAAGGCTCTTTTTTGCGTCAATTTTTCTTGACAGCACAATGTTTGTTTTCGATTGTAAACGTCATCATACTTTTAGTTGGCATGTTTCCACCAAAAAGGCTATACTCAATTTTACGTACTTGTACTATAGGAACAGAAAATGTTCTTAAATTTTTTCAAGACATTTCTCTGGCCTTTTCCCGATTGGATTGAGGTAGGATATACTATTAAGTAGATTCCCTTGGATTTAAATATTCTCAGACTTGAAGTTAACAACTAGCTTTGATATTCAAAGACAATTTGAAAGTTACGTGCTCTCCGAATCGCAGAGGAATTGGAAGTAGTATTCCAAACAAGATTGCTTCAACATACATAGCTTGTTTTTATATGTATATTTATTTATTTAATCGTAGGGCAATTAGCAACACACTGCAATAGGTTCTTAAAACTTTGTTTATTTATACACATTCAGATTCCTCAGCCAATTAGCGGAGTTTTGAGTCGTTTTCAATATACATGCATCTTATACTATTATAGAAAGCTGAAGGGTTTGTTTGTTACGCGCTAATCTCCTGAGATTAACGAAAAGTGGTTCCTCAACCACTAGTCCGATTTGGATAATTATTTTTGTGTTTATTGATTTATTGAAGAAACTAATATCTATAAAAAATCACGCTGCAATCAATAGGAGCTGAGCAGAGCGGGTGAAATCGCGCGGAAGTAGCTAGTATTTACATAAAATTATAATAGTGTACTTATAGTGTACTGTGTGTACTTATATGTGATATTTTATTATTATATGTGATATATGTGATATGTATATTTTATATATTTATATTATATTATTATATTATATTATATATATATATATATATATTATGTATATAGATTATATGTGATATATATGAATAGTGTACTTATATAATAATAACATTTGCACTGTACGTAAGTAAGATTAGCCTTCCGAAAATCCCCATGCCTAAGGTTGTCGGAAAACAAAGATGAGAACGGTTCATTATTTAGGAGACGCGTGGACAGCAGCCTTATGTAACAATAGAATTTACGTATGCTGTAATCCAATGGCTCAGAGCCTCTTCTTAGTGAAACTAAATCAATTAAGTATGTATTATGTTCAAGGGCTCACTCGTGTTAATTATTTTGGGACGTATAGTTTAAGGATAGAACAAAAAAGTTTCTACTGTAACGAAATCAAGTATCTATATAGTTTAAATCACTAAAACCATCTTGTTTTTGTGCTTGGTACTTTTCTTTTATTATAATATCATTCATCCCACAGTCATAGTTCTTCAAATTAGATAAAACCTTAACCTTAACCGTACTTTGCCGATTCGGATCGCGGAGAACTTAACGGGTAACCGAGGCTCCGGCTCGACGTGCAGGAGAAGAAACGGGGTGGTTTTTAGTCAGTAAGAGTCTGACACTCCCTCCCGCCTCACCCAGGCGGGAGCAGTCATTCGATGATTTTCCCCCCTTAAAAAAAAAACCTTAACCGTACCTTATATGGCATTAAGTTCGCTTTATGTGCCATAATTAAATTGTATACATAAAAGAATAAATATAACAAAGCCTTTAACTGCCGACAGAAAACTGTTGAAGGCAAATCCTCTAACGTAGGTCACCGGTGACCTACGTGGCGGTTAACGTGTTAAAAAAAGGTTTATTCTCATAAAAATAACTTATTACACGTTTTCATTTGTTTTGTATATTTTAAGAATAGAAGTATGTAATATTCTTCTACGTCATTAAAACACACCGTTCTATCTATAAAACATAGCGTCCGGCGTCGTGACTAAGGTATACTCATTTAAATGTTTAGTCAGACAGCACTTTAGAGAGCGTCGTAAAAGTCTTGAGAAAGTTATGGCCCCAGTTTGTAGGGGAGAATTTATTTTATACACTACACAAACTCCACTGAATTTGAATGTTTCGGCCTACCCACGTTTTAGTAAAAGGTGGTTCCCGAACTCTTATCTCTTTCAAGGACGCCTATTCGTTGGATTTATGCTGATGTTTAATAAGCTTGATATGCTACATTAACCTACATCTATTTATTAACCCACATAGGTACTCCAAATACAAATTATCCTCATTTCCTTAAATACCGGTTTCAGGTTCAGGTTTTCTGTGCACAACAAGCACCTAATATAATGTACCTGCTCCCTCGCCACAGTTATATACGTTTTATCTCAGAGTTTTCATCACGAAAGATAATACCTAATAATTAATTCATTTAATCTTCTCCACCAACGTCCCGGCGGGTGCCTCGAGATTAAAAAATCATATCACATTACGTGTTGTTCCGTTTCGGTTAGTCTCTCCACACTAATTATCCTTGACCCAGCTTGGTCTAATGCACGTTTCATAGTAATCGAATTAACCCTCTCCAATATTAATTTCCAATACCCAGACGTAAATTATTTAAAATAACATTTACGTGGGCCGCTATAAGACCCCGGCTGGAGGAAACGGAATAAATTGAGCGCCTTATTGAAATTGAGTTTGGAACGTATTACCCGTTGCTACGAGTGCGCGAACGTATATACGTGTGATTTCGATGACCCGTATAGATCGTAGCGTTCTCGTAGCGCTCGTAGCGCTCGTAGCTAGTTCGTAGCTCGTTACATGGCGGTCGTAGCACTTCAATCTCTTACGCTATTGGCTTGAATTACCCGCTTCATTCGTTACAATTCCTGATACAGTTTTTGAATTTTACGGGTAAACTTTTAGCATCCAATTTTAGGTTCCAATTTTATGTTACCGCTAATTTTTAAGCAAGCCTAACTCATAAAATAAATTAACCTAGAAACTTTCATACGTGTAAACAACTGAATACATTATTATAAAGCGGCCGCCTTAAAAAAAACATACGCATCTCGGAAAAATGGAACGGGAATAAAAACATTTGTATTCCGCAATACAATAAAGATGGTTATTTACATAAAACGCGAACGTAGGTAACTTCACGTGATGAAAATAATCCTTAATAAAAAAAACTCTTTAGTATATAAAGGCGAGGCCACACCTGCGGTGCGCTGGTAGGCTGGAATAATCCAGGAGCGCAATCTCGTATATAATTCACGCACCATTTGCGAGCCGCGTGACTTCCACCCCTATTACGTGTAGTGATGGCAAGGGAAAGATGGCAATAGAATTTTTATGGCAAGTTGAGCATAGTTTCAGGACATCGAAGATACCTGTAGATGTGATATAAATACAAAGTTTCGGCGCAATAGCTGCTATTAAGCGTATCGGAAATCGATTGTCTTGGATAAATATTTTATTACTAGTCACTCCCGCTCAGTTTTAACTGCCCTGCCCGACTCCTATTGAACATAGTGTGTTGTTTTACAGCCTACAGCCTACAGCCTTCCTCGATATGGTGACTATTCAACATAAGAAGATTTTTTCAAATCGAACCAATAGATCTTAGCGCGTTCAAATATCAATATGAATAAACTCTTCAAAAAAAAGTATAAAATAAAGCCTCTGGCGCAGATCATACTATAAGAAGGTTTGATTATTAGGTCAGTAGTAGTAGGTAGGTGATTGTGTATGGTGACTAATGAATTTACTCTAATGTCATTATAAACTAATTAACTGTGTAAATTATTATTATTAGTATAAACTCTCACATGAAATTTCATGTAATCGATTGGCTCGTTTGTCGTGCTACGGTAATTATCAACCAAGCTCATGAATATGCCGCTCATGTTGCATTTTTAGTGTAACGTTGTTCTATAATTAATTAATTAATTAAATATTTATTAGTAATGTAAAATAGCATTGTTTAAAAACCCGATGCAGATACCTACATTTTTTTATTTATTTAACACCTTTCTACAAACTTTTCAAAATTAGAATTAACAAAGTCAATTCAGATGTTGTTAACTTTTTTCAACCACACGAACGAATACCAATTGATGTTATATGTATTTTGTATTAGAATTTAACCCAGATTATAAAAATCCCAGTACCTAGTGTAATATAGCATAGTAAAAGATGCCACGACTAAAGTAAAGCTTCGAGTGAATAGGTTGCTTATAGGTAGGCGTGCTCCATCATAGGCTAGCCTACGATAGACCACGCTTGCAGTGATGATACAGCTGTATTTATCATTTACGACCAGGCGAGATACTGGCCATACGCCATATCCATTACCAATAAAAATCTCCAGATGTTTTATTTCATTGTCGAATTATGTAGGGTACTCCAATATCCACCTCCACCCTTATTTCAAAATCCAACAAACATTGTCTGTCTGTATCTTGAAAACAACCTTGAGAAATGATAAGAAAATTCGGGAGGTTCACTAATAAAGCGTGCACCTATAGCCGTCGGATATTGGCGAGGCCGGCCGCGTTGTCTAAGCGGCACTAAGCACCCTACAGCCGAGGCCGCCCTCAGCACAAGGCCACCGAACGCTCCCAAATCAATGTGAGAGCTTCAATAACGTCTCCACAGAGGTTAAGAGCCACACTTCCACAAGCTGCCTTGTCGTAATTTTGTTTGATTTTTTATTATTATGGTGTAGCTGAGCCGTGATGATACTCATCACTACTGAAGAGGCACTTTCTTCACTGTAATCATAAAAGTATCTTATTGTTATTCTGCGTGAGACTTAGAGGTATGGGGTAGAATATTCACCACACTTCTTTGTCTTCGAAAAGATCTGATATAAATATTCTTTCATTATCCGTAAAGATTTCATTACAATAACTTTACTTTCAATGTTTATACCACAAAGTCTAAAATTAAATGGCTCCATGAAGTCATAGGCAATGATCTGTAAACCTATAACGACTTGAGCTGTGTTTAACGGTTGTTAAATCTGATATTGTCGTTTCTGGCTGTACCTAACTTGAATTGGTATCGTTCAAGTTTATGTAACGAGCTCCAGCAACTTACTTAGCTTGTACAATAGTCACTATGTATATTTAAATAAAAATACTACTACTGGTTAACGACCAAAGAATTAGTTTATCTTTTGTTCTATATTTTTTTAAACTAAATTGAAGAATACGCTGAGTTTTTGTTTTAGTCGGGTGATTTTAGAATATTTTGTAATAAAACCAAGGATAATAAAATTTACTAAATAAAACCATTGCCAGATTCAAAAGCATTACCCACAAAACAACAAAGATCCTACTGGATCTATACGAGCGACAAACACCGCCATTTTCTAAGCTATGGAAATAAATAACAGGATAACAGTTACTTCTGTTCCTGGCGCATTGGTCACATTTACAAAGAAATCATCAAATGTATTTCTTTTAGTCAAAACAGTGTATGAATCGAGTAACATTTCAGACTAGTGACATTTTAAACTGACGTTGAAAACTTATTTCAAAGGCAGAACTGTCACTTGTGATTAATTAAATATCGTAACAAAATACAAAAGCTTGAACAGAAGCGAGTGAATGAGCGTCATCGTCGGTGAACGTTAATATTATGACAAGGGCCACGCTCTCGAGCTGACTTCGTAAAACCTCACAATCTACTGTGGATGAACAAAGAACTTCATTACGCTTGCGATTCCAACAGAGAGCCATCCGGATACCAAATAAAGTGCCGAATAATGGCGACGGAACAAATGAAAACAAATAGGAAAAGAGCGGGCCTGATAAATTGCTTGTGTTGTGTGCCTTTATTTTATTGCCCAACATTATTTACAACACGACGTTAAGGGTCATCATTGGTATTTAAAAGATTTGCTCCTCGCGTTGATCTTGCAAAGGATAATTGATTATAGAGATTACTACGATGGAATATATTGGACGTACTGACTTTAATACAGTGTTTATCTATATATTTATTTCAGGATACAAAACATACACTAAATACCTTCATAGTCATAGTAGTAGTGTTCATAAGACTATTGCATCTCATAAAGTAACAAATATGTAACACACATATAGGTGTGAATTCAAACGAAAACAACGTAATTCTGCATCGGTAGAACGTATCCGAAATCCATTTCAAATAAACTCGGGTGATTTATTCTTTAGCGACTGTGTGCTGGAGAAATTCAGATTTACTCGTACCTACATTCTTTAGAAGGAGCTGGGGGCACCACATTCCGCGCAAGTGACGGTAACGCCCTAGGTATGGTAGAAATGACGTTACCCGTGAACGGGTATCGATGTGATGCTAATGGCGCGTAAATAAAATACGAGCTTTCGGAGACGAACACGCTGACTCGAGTTACACAAACTCGGCACTCGAGTCTCGCCTCCAACACCCCACTCTCACCACTATATCGTATTACACATGTGAAATTAAAAACCCCGCTGTATATAACAATTTTAATCCCATCCCATACGAATATCGCGAGCAACTTTCAACTTTTATGTATCTCTAATGAATTTTACACTCGCGCAATAAATGGAAACAAAAGCATTCCAGTTGAGTCTTAATATTAAAAAATATCCGGTCTGAATTATTTTATCGTTGTTGTAAACAGAATTTAATATTGCTTGTACCGTTGAATCACAAATTAAACATTTACATTCGCTTCGGACAAAATTATATGTAGGTAAATAAGGACGCAAAAATATTTTCCCTATATTTATGATGTTATATGATAGTGTTGGAAAAACATTGAACATTGAACATTCGAAAATATTATAATACTATTGTTGCCCGTGACTTGGTCCGCGTAGAATATGAATTTTAGGACATAACTCTTTTTTTGCTTCAATTTTCCAAAATAAAAGTAGCCTATTTTACTTCTTACCAGCAACCTTCCCGTAAAAGTCTCGTCAAAGTCGGTCCATCCATTCCAGAGATCATCATCAATAGACAGACAGACAAAATATGATTTTTTTTTGTAGTAAAACCGGTTATTTTAGTATCACAAACACACTCCACTAATATTATTTATTTGTATAGAAGATGTAGGTACAGCTATATTACAAAAGACTTTACATAATGTTGATGGTTATCATAACAGAATTAACAAAGAACTCAGCGTCAACAAGGGCGGTATCATGAAGACGTCAGTTTCTAACTTTACCACAACCGCTTTCGAGATAACGATAGCAGGATAGGCGCGTGTCAGACGATGATTACATAACCTTCGGTTAGGCAGACTGCGCAAACTTACCCGTGGGGATCTACAGCCTTATTTTTACGTCTGAAGTTAAACATATTTCAAGTCTCCTACGTGATTTGGATACATATTCGGTACTTGGTGTCTCGCATGCCGACGATAACGTTAAAGAGAATACGAAATCGAATGTCTCACCATTATTAGGTACAAGATAATGTAATGCGGTATTCATATTTTATATACATTCTTACATACACTAGGCTATGAACGTAAGTGTGACAATATAGTAAAACTTTATCATTTTAGACGTTAATATTCGGCGAGAACACGATTAACATGGTTAATTACACATATATTTGTTTTAAAGTCGTAAACGTGGCTTATCCTGGACTTAATTTTAGTTTATTACCCTTAAAAATGTTTATGTAACCTTAACTACGAGTAGCCCATTTTGTTTAGATATTATAATTGAGTTTGCACATTTTGTGTTCCCTTTCTATCTAATTTTATATAAAAAAAACATTTTAACCTGACGAAGAAACTTCAACTGGGGTTTTTCAGCCAGCCCAAATGCCTCTCCAAAAATATGTAAGACTTTTAGTAAAAGTCTTTTTTGTAAATTAATGAAAATGTCGTCAAGTTACAATGACATGCAAAAATTATTTTATTTACTCACATTAATCTCTTACTTCTTTATAATGAGAAGGTCACTCACCGCCCTTTTTTACCAACAGGAAGAGTTGGAGGACAGGCCTCGAGCGGCAACGTTCCTCAGCTCGTTGGCGAACTACTCCAACACGATCCCGACGGCATCAGCCGCGGACCCTGACGTCAAGCCGGCACCACCAGCTCGGATGGGCACCCTCATTGGTGTCTATCTCCCTTGCATCCAAAACATCTTCGGTGTGATCCTCTTCATCCGTCTCACGTGGGTCGTTGGAACTGCTGGTGCTATTCAAGGATTTCTGATTGTTCTCGTTTGCTGCTGTACGGTAAGTCTAATTTGGTTACAGATATTCTTTAATCTGTTTTTGTGTTGTGGTATGTAGTTTCATTGATGTAGTTTTAATTAATGTTGAAGTAAAAATGCCACTCTGAAATGTGACTCACGGAACCCAAAATTGTGAAGAAATTCTATAGATATGATATTTCTTGTGAACGTCTCCAAAAATACTTACTCTAAGTACTTCATGATTTGTAAAATTTTCCAACTACCATTAATCTCTCCTGAATACTGCTAAGTATCCATATTTTTCCCGAGAACTGTCAGCCTACGTCTCGTCCAACTAGTTTTATTATTACTAAGATGACGCGTTAGAAATTATTTCAACGGGTAATTGATCATAATATCCCTCACCTAACCACAAGCACTGAACTTTCTGCAATTTTTACAGTATAGATAATAATATCCAAATCAACCGTACTGTAAATAATTGTGTAACAATAAACTTCTATTTATGTTTCGCTCGTATTTTAAGTAAATAACAACGCAATATATAATATAATCAGCGCTACCCGAACAAGACCGTGGTTGGTATAGGTACCTACCTATTTTGAATAAAATTACCTACGCATGGAGCTATTCATATTCGTCGAAGCAGGGGGCGATGACGCACGAACCACAACGACCGTAATATACTTCTGTATCCAAATAGAGTGGGAACAAAAACAATTGCTTGTTCGTTTATCGCTGTACCTGCCACGAAACAAAAATACGAGAGAATGAAAATAACTCATCTTTCGTATTGTATTCCCAGCGCAGCCTTATATTTGCTTCAGATTACGTTATTGTTGCGTAGAATTTCCCCCGGGTCTGTCCGAGTTTCATGTCTAAAGCTACAATGCTGGCGCATCTAATAATGGTCGATCCTTCAACTTATCTAATTTAACTTGCCGACGGTTTATTAAATCTCCTAGACACTAACTGGATTATTTGGCCAGTCAAACTAGATTATTATTGGTGTTACCTAATACTAAATTTTATTTGATAAAATCTAAACTAACTGCGACTATTGGATAGAACGTCTGACCTTTATTGTGACTTTTATGTTATGAGTCGTTGTCCAGTCCCTTGGCAACCCTCTTCTCTTTATTTTATATATTAGATAATATGGCAAAGGTTACATGTTGTGTCTGAAATGTTAAAAAAGGTTTGTGTCTAGAGACAATTTGAGAGAGTTAGGGTCTGTATAATACGAAGAAAGTTGTTTTGAAGACGTTAATAGTTTAAGAAAACAATATTGATGTTCTTTTTTGTTTTCACAGACAATGTTAACTGCTATCTCGATGTCTGCGATCGCGACGAATGGCGTGGTGCCGGCGGGCGGGTCGTACTTCATGATAGGGCGCGCGCTGGGCCCCGAGTGCGGCGGCGCGGTCGGCATGTTGTTCTACACCGGCACCACGCTCGCAGCTGCCATGTACATCGTCGGAGCTGTTGAAATTGTTCTGGTAAGTACCTTTTCCGAGCTTAAAGAAGTAATCTAAGTTTTATATTCTCACCACACTTGGGTACGTGAGGTTACGTGAAACTTTTGACCATTGGATCAACGAAGCAAATGGAACGACGTTACCTCTGTTGAAATCACAAAACCGCTTCCCAATTAGTCACGTTTCTGTCAGAAGTCAGAATGCTATACGTCATGCCCAAAATGACAAGGACATCAACATGCCGTTTTCTCCTTCTACTCCAACAATAGTAAATTAAAAGTATTCACAATTTGATTAAAGAGAAATGATGGAAATGTCATTTGTTATACTACATACTACCTTCCTCTATCTACAATATAATTAGATAGGTCTGTATAATAAGGAAAGGAACATTTCCACTTTCCTAAAACTACAGATATGTCATTAGTTTAGCTAATTACAGCTGGTCGTTGCTAAGCAATTTCGTAAATAGAACACGACTGTTTATTATCTCTTGTTTTACCTTCTCATAGAGGATAATAATTATGTTTGTTAGTATACAGTAAAAGATAACTATGTTCATCTCACTAAGATATTTTTTTTATTTGGATGTTTGTACGTCAATCACGTTGAAACTACTGAACGGATTTTGATGAAGTTTGGTATACAGGCAGGGTATCGGCTGAGTTAGGTGATTATCCCGATTAAATGCTCCCATGAGATGAAACAGGAATCATATTCTTCGCGGTCGAAGTCGTGGGCAACAGTTAGTATAGGTATAAAGTTAGTTACTTTTCATCATTTCTAATCTTGAGTTGACCGCAGTCACCGAAGCGAAGTCAGGTTCGGTAGCCAAACCGATTAAATGATATTTTACAAATAGGTAACAAATTAAAACTATTAAATGTATGTGAGAATTATACCGAGAAACGTAATAATTATGCTTTTTACTGAGATTAGAGTCTAAATGACTAGATAGAAACTAGACTGCCTCGTTGGCCAAGTGGTCGCAAGTGCGACTGCCGGGCAAAGGGTCTCGGGTTCGATTCCCGGATCGGGCAAAATACTACTAGGTTTTAAAAAAAATCTCAATTATAGCACGGAGTCTGGAATTGTGCCCGGTATATGGCAATAGGCTCACCTCCTAATACATGGGACTCATAACATAAACAGTGAAAAGTGGGTGTTACATTGTACAGTGGCATTAAGAGCCGTATTATGCATCTACATAACATAACATAACATCACGCCTTTTTATCCCCGAAGGGGTAGGCAGAGGTGCACATTACGGCACTTAATGCCACTGTACAATGTAACACCCACTTTTCACTATTTATGTTACGAGTCCCATGTAATAGGGGGTGAGCCTATTATGCATCTCTGCCTACAATAAAAGGCGTGATGTTATGTTATGTGTAACTAGAAACATGGCTAAGAAACTTGAGAAAAATGCTAACCCCATGATGACTTTTTACAACTTAACTTGGAAAGTATTAGTATCAAACGTGCACCTCTCCCCGCTCATCTAATAAATAACTGACGTTGTGCTTTTCTCAATTAGAACGAGTAAAGGACGATAGTATTTCATGTCATTATAGTATGCAGATTATCTGCGCATTAAGCTGTCCGATGCTGAATGATACAAAGTTAATATTCATCAGACCACTAATTACTCTTTTGCATGATTAAGCACATCGTTTGCATTCTGCTTGCGGTCAATAACACGCATGAATACGTCAATAGAAGCCCGAGTGCTCTAATCATTATTTATAATTAAAATAGACTTTGAATAGGATATATAATAGAGCTAGAATCATGCATGCAGTTACAGATGTAATTTACCTTGTAAATACTTATATTGACTGCTTCGTTGGCCGAGCGGTCGCATGTGCGACTGCCGGACAAGGGGTCTCTGGTTCGATTCCCAGGTCAGGCAAAGTATTACAGGCTTTTAAAAAAATCTTAGTAGTAGCACGGAGTCTGGAAATATGCCCGGTATATGGCAATAGGCTCACCCCCTATTACATGGGACTGGTAACATAAATAGTGAAAAGTGGGTGTTACATTATACAGTGATATTGAGTGCCGTAATGTGCACCTCTGCCTACCCCTTCGGGGATAAAAGGCGTGATGTTATGTTATGTTATTTTGTTTATGTAACAAGTGCAGAAGAAGTGTAAAACGAAAAGTTTCATATTTATTTCATTATAATAAAAATTATGAACATGTACCTAAACACAAACACGTTACAAGCAAATGTGCCAAGAATAGAATTATATCACAAAGCGTAGCTGGTACTCCGTGTCTAAGTAATCTCACCCTTATCGTGACTGCGACATAGACTACATTTATAACTCCTCGCTTATATAATAAGACTTCATAATCCCCATCTCCTTGACAGACGTACATGGCGCCGTGGATGTCGATCTTCGGGGACTTCACGAAGGACCCCGAGGCTATGTACAACAACTTCCGAGTGTACGGCACCGGGTTACTGCTGATTATGGGGATGGTCGTATTTGTCGGCGTCAAGTTTGTCAACAAGTTCGCGACCGTCGCCCTGGCCTGTGTGATCCTGTCCATCACTGCTGTCTACGTCGGAATCTTCGTTAATTTCAACGGAAATGATAAGCTGCAGTGAGTATTACTTATTTATTTGTAGGCAAATAGTTTTTTTTACCACGAATCTTAAGGCTCTTTTAATTGAAACTTAGTTCAAGTCAACTCAAATAGGTTTAATTAACATACATAGTATTTGCCATTACCTAATATAGATACATATTTTCGTTAGTATCAATGTTACATGACTCCGTGAACACGTCTTTCTTTATTGGTGTTACAAACTTGTAAAATGTATAAGTGACGTTTGTTAACAACAATAATAACAGATTGTCCAGTACAATAACAATTAAGTACCAGTGCTAACTAAATTTATGTTTTCACATAACGACCAAAAGTTAGCAATTCAGTACAGAAACATAAGCACCCTCGCATTAACTCGAAGTATACCGAGTAAAGTCGTGACTGAGATAGTCGCACTCATTAGGCCCTTAATGGCACACACGAGATACTGAATTTCAGAGATAACATCACCCAGCTTTTACAACATTTTGTAGCTAAAAAAGTTTTAAAGTATGATTAGGCTCGCCACCATCAATCTTGTTAGCGTCGCCAAAAACGAGGAGTTTTTGCTTGAGTTTTTGTGTGAACCATTTTATTTTATCGCGGAATTACGATTTTACAAGAATTTAAGGCGACATAAAAAAACAAATTCCTTGTTTCTAGAAATTATGACTTTGGTCTGTTGTCGAGAACTTTTTGTGTTGGGTTGAATTGTAATCTGTAAAAGTAGAATCTTGCAGTATACAGCGAATTACCAAACATGTATTAACGAGAGCTCGTTGTGGCTTTGGCCACTTTAACGTTAAAATAATATGATATAGATTTAAATTGTTAATGCTTTTTCCCTAGAATGTGTGTGCTGGGTAAACGTCTACTGAAGGACATTGACATCAATAACTGCACGAAGACGGTTGGAGCGCCGCTGCACCAACTGTTTTGCCACAACGATACCTGCGATCCTTACTACCTGGCACACAACGTCTCCATCGTACAAGGCATCAAGGTCAGATACGGACATATTGCTTGAAACTATGTAACATCTTTGTTTATATTAAGTTGATGATATTCGTATTAAAAATATCTGAGCTCTACCAGATCTTATCCTCAATTTGACCTCACGGAATTCACGATTTGATTCAATAAACTCAAAATAATTGTGATATTTTATATAAAGCCAAAAATTGCATAATTGAAAGTTACGGCTTAATGAACAAACCTTTACAACTTCTAGGGATTGAAAAGCGGAGTTTTCTTCGACAACCTTCAAGACTCGTTCCTTCAACTCGGCCAATACATTGCTTACGGCAAGGAACCTGAGGATATCGAGCAGATGGAAAGACCAACTTACAACCAAGTTTATGCTGATCTCACTACTACCTTTACCATCCTCATCGGAATCTTCTTCCCCTCCGTAACTGGTAAGAACTGAAGTGTCGTCACTAATTTTTCTAATGCGTTACCATAAGAAATTACACAGTAAGGCTACTTGCTTGGATTGTAACTTTTTACTAGTACTAAATCTAAGGCCAGGTGGCGTATTATGACGTCTTAAAGCCAGGGTGGTTTCTCTGAGGGAACAAGATCTCGCTAGACGACTTGTATAGCTCTGTTTATTACCCTCAATCGAACCATTCTGACTTAGGTAGGACGTCAAAAGAACCCTACTGGACAAAAACTTGTTTCTCTGATTAATCAATGACTATTTTCGACAGGTATTATGGCTGGTTCTAACCGTTCGGGTGACTTGGCTGACGCTCAAAAGAGTATCCCTATAGGAACGATCTGCGCTATCTTGACCACTTCCACCGTCTACCTGTCCTGCGTACTTCTGTTCGCTGGCACTGTTGACAATTTGCTTCTCAGAGACAAGTAAGAGATTCTTCTAGAATAATTTCAATTAAGAAAAATTTCTCTAGAACATTATTGAATTTCGTTAAAAAATGTTTATTCTTACTTCTAGGTTTGGTCAATCTATCGGTGGAAAACTCGTCGTTGCGAACATGGCGTGGCCGAACCAATGGGTGATACTGATTGGTTCTTTCCTGTCAACCCTGGGAGCTGGTCTGCAATCCCTCACCGGAGCCCCACGACTGCTACAAGCTATTGCTAAGGATGAAATCATTCCGTTCTTAGCACCGTTCGCCGTCTCATCCAGCCGGGGTGAACCAACAAGGTAAGGCAAAGCTAAAAACTGTATAACTAATTTTGTTTGTAAAGTATTTATTAATTTATATAGATTATGGTATTCGATGTGGGCCTAAAAGCCTGAAATAAATGGATAAATAAAAAAAAATATTGCCTTTGATATGATTAGTAGAAACTCTAATATGTATGAGCAAGTTCAATTCAACAAACATACGAAACACTATTCTTCTTGGTTATATTGTATTCAAAGCAACAATAAGAAATACTTAAAATAAGAAGCCTTTACCAAATCTTCTGCTTATAAAAGAATATGCTTTGTATTTCCAGGGCCCTGCTTCTAACGATGGTGATCTGCCAATGCGGTATCCTTCTTGGCAACGTCGACATCTTGGCTCCTCTGCTGTCCATGTTCTTCCTCATGTGCTACGGCTTCGTGAACCTTGCCTGCGCTCTGCAGACCCTCCTTAAGACTCCCAACTGGCGACCTCGGTTCAAGTATTACCACTGGTAAGAAGATGTTTGTTCCAAGATCTTTATAAAGCAATTATTTCGTCATGAAAAAATGAACTCTAAACACAAAGCACTAAAGATGATTTTTTTTAATAAAGATAAATATTTATTGATCTGTATAAACATGTGTAGGTAACATTATACAAATCAATAAAGTGAAAACTGTAACGCCTCAACATGTTTTGCCACAATTATTGGCGTACAAAATAAATCATAAAATTTATAAAAAATATTAAAGAGACAACTAAAGTTAAAACAATGAACTTTTAAATTATCATTTAAAAAATCATTAATATGGTAATAACAATGCTTAATAAGTATATTTTTCAGATCTTTTTTAAATAAATAATTGTTACTTATATTTTTCAAATTATGCGGAATTTTATTGATACTAAACACACTTTTACGGAGAAGTGCAGTTTTCGCAGAGTGAGGCTGTAGATAATGCTTATATTTCTTGCGTCTATTCCTAACAATATTATCTGCTAATGTTCAGTTTCTGAAGATCCCAGTTATACTGTCACTTACTATTGATTCAATAAAGTTATTGAAAAGATAAACCTTATTGCGTTTCTGGATGCGCGAAGAGCCGTTTGATAACTATGAATATGAAACCGATAGCTAGTTCCTTATTGCGCCACTAGAGGGGTCTCATTAAATAATAGCGCTTAAAATTAATTAAATCAGTTAAATTCGTTGTACATAATAGTTTTCTTATTATTACATATTTTTCCAGTGTTATGTGGCTAGAAATAGTTTTATTTATAATTTACAACAATAATTATTCAAAATTGTTGTGAAACGCTGTCGGCGTCTTTATCACTGTCAAGTCTTTAAAAAATAAAACGTCAAACTTATTAATTCCGTTTATAACGAACTGATATGATTTTGTGTGTGGTAGGTATTTTGAATTATTATTCACGCAACGTATACTGCAGTTTAAAATTCTGTTAGTCTTTGAGTGGCTTTATATTATTTTGTATTTTAAGTACCTAAATTATCGTTGAAATGGAATCCGGGAAACGTAGCAAAGAAAAGATGTTTCTTATAGAGGTACTTCTCAGCATTTGGCATAAATATATATCTCCTACTCCTAGCTAGCTTTGCTATTTCTTTACTTATTCATAGACAATTCTTGAGACAGTGGTTTTGTGGACGTCCATATCATCTATATATATAAAATTCAAAGGTGATTGACTGACTGACTGATTGACTGACTGACATAGTGATCTATCAACGCACAGCCCAAACCGCTGGACAGATTGGGCTAAAATTTGGCATACAGATAGATGTTATGACGTAGGCATTCGCTAAGAAAGGATTTTGATAATTTCCACCCCCAAGGGGGTAAAAAAGGGGATGAAAGTTTGTATGAAACTTTGTCAGTTTTTAACTGATCGGGTTGAAATTTGGCATGCAGATAGATGTTATGACGTAAACATCCGCTGTGAAAGGATTTTGATAATTTCCACCCCCAAGGGGGTAAAAAAGGGGATGAAAGATTGTATGAAACATTGCCAGTTTTACACTGACCTGGTTGAAATTTGGCATGCAGGTAGATGTTATGATGTAGACATCCGCTACGTAAAGATTTTGATCATTTCCATCCCCCAATGGGATAAAATAGGGGATGAAAGTTTGTATGACACTTTGTCAGTTTTAAACCGATCGGGTTGAAATTTGGCATGCATAAAGCTACTATGATGTAGACATCCTCTAAGAAAATAATTCGATTAATTTCATCCCCAAGGGGGTAAATAGGGGATGAAAGTTTGTCTATGTATAAATCATCTTACATTTTCGACTGATTGAACTGAAATTAAAAATTGAAGACTATTATGAAGAATAGGATTTTGATAAATTCAACCCCCATAGGAATAAAATAAGGGATGATTTGGGATTTAAACGTATTACTTTGAACTAATCAGTACCTAATGGAACGAATAAATTAGGACGAACAAAATAATTTTAGTTCTAAAAGTTAACAATAGATGGCGTTAGTAGTAGGTTGTCGTTATGTCTTCACTGAGTTACATATACCCGACGATGAGTGGCCACCATATCTAATAGTACATCATACTATACCTACCTAAATATTTATAGTGGATTTTGGCTGTTCTTTTCTTGGCATATTTTGGATTGCATTTGCTTTGTTTCGGTTTAGTAGTTTTGGTTACAGACTCAGCTTTGTATAGTACATACTATACCTTAATATTTCTAGCGGGTTATATTTCACAATTTTGGCTGTTCTTTTCTTGGCATAATTTGGATTGCTTTTGCTTTGTTTCAGTTTAATAGTTTTAGTTATAGACTCTGCTTTGTATTTGGAATTTTGTTTTGTTTAGGTTTGGATAGGTTTAGTCGGTTAGACTTTTTGAAAATGGCTAAAGAAAACCTGAACATTAAAGGAGAAGTTGAAGAATATACTGTCGTGCCTATTGTTGGTGACGGTGCATGTTTGTTCCGTGCTCTCTCTTATTTAATGTACGGAACACAAGATAGAGCGATGGAGGTGCGAACAGAAATTGTTAGATATGTGGTTAATGACTGGACTAAGTTTTCAATTATGACTCACGACAGAAATGGTGATAACTATGTAACACCTGACGAATATTTTGCTGATATGATGAAAAATGCTACTTATGGCGGATTTTGTGAATTAATAGCAGCAGGACTAATATTCCCATTTAAGTTTGAAGTTTATAGAAACGGTCTCATATATACGGAATCTGGTTCAAATGACAATCCGGTAAGGCGATTGCGATTCAGTCACGATTTGTCCAGTGGGCATTTTGATGCCTATCTTCCCATAGCAGCACAAAAAATTACTCGGCGTCGTATGGAGATAGCTGTAGAAGAACATTATACACCTGCGCAACTTAAAGTTGACGAGGGTTATCAGGAGGTACCTGTATTAGAGCGTGAACATTCAACTACTCTATCGTCAAAAAATTAAAATGAAAATTTAATAAGAAGTTTATTGTCCCAGAATGAGTCTGTGATATTTATAGAAAAAAAGAAGAACAAACGTAGGGCAAGGTTTACTAATTTTACACGAAAAAATCAATTAAAAAAGGCACAAAAGAAATATGGACAGACTCTACCTGAATCCCATCGTAATGCTGTGTATGAATATAAGAAAAGAAAACCCGATGTACAGAGGCAAGCTGTCGCCACTTACCAGGATGCACACCCTGAAAAACACAGGCAATCTGTCGCCGCCTATCAGGCTGCACACCCTGAAAAACACAGGCAATCTGTCGCCGCCTATCAGGCTGTACACCCTGAAAAACACAGGCAATCTGTCGCCGCCTATCAGGCTGCACACCCTGAAAAACACAGGCAATCTGTCGCCGCCTATCAGGCTGCACACCCTGAAAAACACAGGCAATCTGTTGCCGCCTATCAGACTGCACACCCTGAAAAACACAGGCAATCTGCTGTACTATATCAAGCCAAGAATACCGATGTGCATAGAGTGATTCAGTCACGGTATAGACAAAATACAATTCAGCGTGTATGGAAAAACAAGTTGCTTTCGGGTTTAGCGTATGACCCAGATATTGCTTATGGAACTGACAGCAGTGTTGTATTAGGTTCTATGACGTACAAGTGTCAGTGGTGTAACGCCTTGAAGTGGAAAGATGAAACACCGGGCCTGTGTTGTAGCGCCGGTAAAGTACAACTTAAGTCGTTTAAACAACCGGCTGAACCACTTTACAGTCTGATTAATGATTTACACCCAAATCATGTACACTTCATGGATAATATTCGAAAATATAATGCCTGTTTTCAAATGACTTCCTTTGGTGGAAAACAAATAAAAGAAGGCGGTTTTTCACCAACTTTCAAAGTTCAAGGACAAGTATATCATTTAATTGGAAGTATATTACCGGAACCTGGGCAGGATGCTCAGTTTTTGCAAATTTATTTCGTCGGTGAAGATGATAGAGAAGCTAATATTCGATGTTCTAAATTTCCTGATTTGAGACCAAATTTAATTAAACAATTACAGCTTATGTTACATGAGGTGAACCCATACATAAAAGATCTAAAAACAGCCATTGATAAAATATCACCTTCAGAGTCATTTAAAGTCGTAATACATGCAGATAAAAAACCACAAAGAGAACACAGAGGCAGATTTAATGCACCAACGGCAAATGAAGTGGCTATTGTATTAGTAGATCAGCATTTTGAGCGAAGAGACATCATTCTCGAAAGCCGAAGTAACTCACTTCAGCGTATCAGTGAGATACATCGAGCTTATGACGCGCTGCAGTATCCACTGATATTTTGCTGGGGGGATGATGGCTATTCAATAAACATACCACAATGCGACCCCACAACTAAGTCACCGTTGAAAAAAACAGTTTCTGCTGTAAATTTTTATTCATACAGAATAATGATCAGAGAAGGAGAAGATAACTTTTTGATTAAATATCGTGCCCTTTTTAGTCAATATTTGGTAGATGAATATGCAAAAATAGAAACTGAAAGACTAAACTATATAAAAAACAATCAAGCCAAATTGCGCGCAGATAATTACATTCATCTAAAAGATGCAATTGGACGGCAAGATACTGAAGCAAATCAGCTGGGACAAATGGTAGTGCTTCCATCGACTTTTACTGGTGGACCTAGATATATGCACGAAAAAACGCAAGACGCCATGACCTACGTTAGACACTACGGTCGTCCCGACCTTTTTATAACTTTTACATGTAACCCACGCTGGAGTGACATAACTGAGCAATTACTTTCAGGACAAAAATCTCATGATCGATACGATATTATTTCGCGTGTCTTTCGATTAAAGGTAAAAAAGGTCATGGATTTGTTAATAAAAGGGAAAATATTCGGTGAAGTGAGATGCTACATGTATTCAACGGAATGGCAAAAGCGAGGTCTTCCGCATATTCATATACTTTTATGGCTTCAACATCGTATCACTCCGGATCAAATTGACAATATTATTTGTGCTGAAATACCTAACCCTGATCGTGATCCTGAGCTTTACGAAATTGTTAAAAGTAATATGATACATGGCCCCTGTGGAAGTTTAAATCGTAATTCTCCATGCATGAAAGATAATTCGTGCAGAAAACGTTATCCTAAGGGTCTTATTAAGGAAACTCAAACCGGTGATGATGGTTATCCGCAGTACAGGAGACGTTCTTTGGATGACGGTGGATTCTCTGTCAATATTAAGGGTATTACAATAGATAATCGTTGGGTGGTTCCTTATAATCCAGTGCTATTAAGAACGTGTAACGCTCACGTGAACGTAGAGTATTGCCATTCAGTGAAGTCAATCAAGTACGTTTGCAAATATGTTAATAAAGGGTCAGATCAAGCTACGTTTACTTTAGAGAACGGGAAGGATGAAGTTTCTACCTACGCAAGTGGTCGATATATAAGTTCAGCTGAAGCAGCTTGGCGAATCTTTGAATTCCCAATACATGAACGTTTTCCTCCTGTAGTGCACCTTGCTGTCCATTTAGAAAATGGACAGCGAATTTATTTTAATGAGCAGAACTTGTGCGACAAATTGAGTAGTCCTCCTACAACTACACTCCTCTCTTTTTTCGATCTTTGTAACGTGGATGACTTTGCTAAAACATTGCTATATTCGGAAGTTCCTGCGTATTACGTTTGGAACAAGCGATCGTTTCAGAGAAGGAAGAGAGGAGTGAATGTTGAAGGATGGTTAGGGGTCAAAAAAGAACACGTTCTAGGTAGGGTATATACCGTTCATCCAAACAATACAGAATGCTACTATCTTCGAATGCTTCTTCATGAGATCAGAGGCCCAATTTCATTTGAAGCGTTGAAAACTGTAGATGATCACTTATATCCCACTTTCCAATCCACGTGCAAAGCTCTAGGTCTACTTGAAGATGATCGGCATTGGGATTCATCTCTTGAAGAGGCAGCACTTTGTCAATCACCGCATATGATTCGAGAGCTTTTTGCTATCATATTATTGTTCTGTCAAGTTTCCGACCCCTTACATCTTTGGGAAAAATACAAAGATTACCTTTGTGAAGACTTTAAAAAACAACTGGAAAGACAAGGTGATGTAGAGGTAAAACACTCATCGGACCTGATATTTAACAAATGCCTGTCGGTATTAGAGGATACCGTATTATCATTAGGCGGCCGTCCTCTTAAAGAGTATGGATTACCTCAGCCAATAACATCAATACATTTTGAAAATAGAGAGTACGTGAAGGAAACCAGTTACGATACAGTGATCTTAGAAGATACAGTAAAAAAAAATGAAGCTTCCTTGAATGACGAGCAACAAGAAGTTTACAATCAAATTATGACAAGTGTAGATGCAAATGACGGTCGCTTATTCTTTTTAGACGCTCCAGGTGGAACTGGTAAAACCTTCCTTATTAATTTACTTTTGGCGAAAGTAAGAAGTACTCACGGTATTGCCCTGGCTGTGGCGTCTTCCGGCATAGCTGCTACTTTACTCGAAGGTGGTCGAACTGCTCATGCTACTTTTAAGTTACCACTCAATTTAATCACTGCCGAGACCCCCATTTGCAACATCTCCAAACAAAGTAATTTTGCTGAAGTTTTAAAGAGTACAAAAATAATCGTGTGGGACGAAATAACGATGGCTCATAAAGGTGGTATTGAAGCCTTAAACCGATCACTTAAGGATATTAGGGGTAATACAAAATTAATGGGTGGCGTAACAGTGTTGCTGGCCGGAGATTTTCGGCAGACTCTGCCAGTGGTGCCAAAAGGAACCAGAGCTGACGAAGTAAAGTCGTGCATTAAGAAATCTAATTTGTGGACGCAGGTTAATATTCTTAAGCTTTCTAAAAATATGAGAGCACATTTGGGTGGAGATGAATCTGCTGATAGATTTTCAGATCTCCTTCTTAAAATCGGTAATGGTGATTTTCCATCGTTTGATGGAATGATAACCATCCCGGAAGAATTGTGCACAGTAGTTACTACGGTTCAAGAGTTGTTGTCTAAAGTTTATCCAGACATTATTCATATACATGACAAGCCTATTGAATGGTTATGTGAACGTGCCATACTTACTCCGAAGAACGATCAAGCAGCAGCTATCAACGATATCCTACTGATGTCGTTTGAGGGCGAAGAAAAGGTCTATACTTCGATTGATACTGTGGTTAATACAGATGACGCTACTAATTACCCTGTAGAATTTTTAAATTCATTAAAGCCGCCAGGTTTGCCTTATCATAAGCTTATTTTGCGTGTGGGCACTCCAATTATGTTGTTGCGAAATTTAAAACCACCAAAACTTTGCAACGGTACTAGACTGCAAGTGAAAGCGTTACATCGCAATATAGTGGAAGCCACTATATTAACTGGGTGTGCAAAAGGGGAAACTGTATTTATACCACGAATCCCATTAATACCTAATGATATCCCGTTTGAATTTAAACGATTACAGTTTCCCCTAAAAGTCTGCTTTGCTATGACAATAAACAAGTCTCAGGGGCAAACTCTCAAATTTTCGGGTATTGACTTGAGAGAACATTGCTTCTCACATGGACAGTTTTATGTTGCTTGCTCACGAGTAAGTTCACCCAACAACTTGATAGTTTTAGCGCCTAATGACAGAATAGTTAGGAATATTGTATACAAAGAAGTTTTGTAGGCCCAAATTCAGTGCGAATTGATTCTGATGAATTCTGTCAGAAGTCATTAACCTACGCGGACGAAGTCGCGGGCAACAGCTAGTCACCAACTACAACTTGAAAAGTACTCATTGCATAAAATTGTAATACAATAAAAATTTGTTCTAACACAGACAATGTATATATTTGCGTTGCATAACGAGAGTTAGAGCAGGGCTGATGATATCACTTAGGTGTATTGCAGTGTTCTTCTCAAAACGATATCTCAATTGAAACTCTTCATCAGTAAATATTTCGAAAGGATTTCTCCTACTTCGTAAGTTTCGGGGTACTGATATATTCGAAATTAACTCGAGTACTTCAAAATCAGACTATGATGAACGTGTACGATGTACGTTGTTCAGAAACACACTTATAAGTTATCAAATCAATAAAGCTAAAAAATTTATAAACTGCCGATAAAAGTACTTCAGAAACCGGGCATAACAGTGGAAACCAGATTCAAATTTCAAATTTCAAATTTTTTTGTAAGAACAAATAAAGCTATTTCTAAGATTTACAGTGATGGAAGTGTCAGTATATGTTATGGTATTCCTTAAACAGAGGTTGATAGCTGTCAATAGTGTGCAATAGTTTTAATCCTGAACATGGCCCGGATACAGCGTTTTTGTATTTTAAATACCATACCTATCTGTGTTGGTCGAGTTTCCCCAGAATATCATACCGTATCGAAGCAATTCGATTCCAAAGAGAAAGAATCTATCAGTCCCTAATATGCCGTCAATAACGTGTCTCTGATTTCTGTTGATGATAGTTTATGCATCGCTTAAGATAAGCGGCTTATTTTTGTACAAAGGTCTTCAGTATGACAGTCATTAACAGTTGCACGAGGGAGATCATTAATATACGTAATAAATAGTGTGGGTCCCAATATGCTACCTTGGGAAACACCGTTCTTTTTTAGTTTTTAAGTTTTGTTATTTGTGTAATTTGTTTACGACCAGACAGATAAGATTTAAATAGTTCTAAGACATTTCCTCTTATGCCATATGCCTCCAGTTTACTAGCTAATATTGCATGATCAACATAATCGAAGGCTTGTGTCATGTCACAAAAGATCGAGCATACAGGGGTGGTTTTACCAATCGCGGACATTATATTTAAAAAAAACTCAAAGACTTTTGTTCGTTGCATTAGATATTACTATTTTATAAATAATTGTTTAATTCTATATTGTAATAAGTCTCAAAGATTTTTAAAAATACAGAAAGAAAGGCAATTGGTCGGTAGTTTTCGACTAATTCCTTGTCATCTTTTTTCAATAACTGCTACTTTAAGATCTTTTGGAAATATGTGTTTTGTTTTCTTGGGAGATATTAAATAATAATGTTATATGACGGTTTCAGGTCTCTCTCGTTAGCTGGACTGACACTTTGTATCTCCATCATGTTCATGACGTCTTGGTTCTATGCTCTTATCGCAATGGGCATGGCTGGCCTCATCTACAAGTACATTGAATATCGCGGGTAAGTCTTCTTACTCTATGTTAATCAAAATAGTACTTTTTCTATATATTTA